TCCACACCAAGCGGGTTTTCTAACCCTTGGCATTTTTAAGAGGTGGGGACAACCCCACATATTTCCCCAGCAAGCGTGCGGGCTGGGGAATTCTGGGAGTTGAAGTCCACACCTCTAAAAACTGCCAAGGTTGAGAAACCCTGGTCTACAGTAATTGGCTGCAATGTGTCATATCCTATCTAGCAAAATAGGGGAAGGAGTTAAAGGAAGAGTTATGGGATTTGAACTCTTATCAGGTGGCAGCAAGGAGAAGGCCGAGCACCATCTCTATGACAGTGGCATTGGCTGGCGATGATGGGCGTCTAACACATACTACACTTCAGCTTATGGAAGATTGTCTGAGTTGGTCTTCATAAAACCAGTTCCTTTCTGTGACATACAACATTCGTATGTTTGGAGCACAGAGGTTTCTGGTGCCTTCATGTCTGATGCGAATCAATCTACTTCAAGAGGCTTTGGAGGTGGTGGTGAGTTTCAAAGTGGCCAGGAAAGAATGTAGCATGCAAATGAGGTGGGCGGGACTGCACAGGAGATAGGTTTATGACATGTGCTACTCCAGTCCAGTGTGTGGTTTAGTGAGTAACTGGAGGAAATCCATGGATGCATTAAATATAGGTAATTCTCCATGGACCTGATCAGTTGAAGTGTTTTGGTGGATGACAGAAAGGAAGAGATTAGGTCACAGAGCTGGTACTGATGCTTCCAAAGATACTTATGCTTCTGTTCACCTTCCTGTTGCAAGCCAGTGCTGGGAAGGGAGTGCCATCCCATAATGGCACCATAATTGTAGGCATGAGGCTGGAGAATAGTAGCAAGTCACAGACAAGGATTTTGGAAAAGGGCATAATCCAAGTGGTGGAAGGAAGCATGATCCAGCTTCGGGTCTATGGTAAGGGTATCCACCAATTCACATGGCAGAGGATTCGATTTGTGGAGGCTTCTTCCTTGGGCACCATTATCAGGAACTCTTCAGGCTGCCCCCATAGAACAAGTGACTTACTGGTAGAGCCATACAGTCATGACGTACGAGATACTTCTGCAATACTCTTTGTGACTGTTCAGACCCTGCGGAAGAAGATCCAGTTCAAGGACTACATGATGTGCCTTGAGGATGATCATGGGCAACCACGGCAGTGGCTCAGTGATAGCGATCTGACCCTCCGAGTGATAGAGGATAAGAGTACAAACCTACCCCTCTGGTTTGAAATGATCTCAATAGTTTTTCTCTTGGCACTCTCAGGCATACTTAGTGGCCTCAATTTGGGCCTAATGGCCCTTGATCCTATGGGACTGCGCATTGTGCAGAATTGTGGCACAGCTAAGGAGAGGAAATACGCTGCCAGAATTGCACCCATCCGGAGGAAGGGGAATTATTTGCTCTGTTCTTTGCTGCTTGGTAATGTTTTAGTCAATGCTTCTCTCACCATATTGTTTGACAAAATTATTGGAGCAAACATTGGGTCTATTGTGGTCTCTACTTTTGGTATTGTCCTCATTGGGGAGATCATCCCACAGGCCATCTGCTCCCGTCATGGCTTGGCAATAGGTGCCAACACCATCTTCATCACCAGGTTGCTCATGTTACTGACATTCCCATTCTCTTACCCTATCAGTATGATGTTGGACTACCTGCTTGGGAAAGAAATGGGCACTGTATACAACCGAGAGAAACTGATGGAGATGCTTAGGTTGACTCAGCCTTATAACGACTTGATGAAAGAAGAATTGAATATCATCGAAGGAGCCCTGGAGCTGAGGACTAAGACAGTGGAAAATGTCATGACCCCATTAAATGACTGCTTCTTTGTCAACAGTGATGCCATCCTGGACTTTGATACAATGACAGAGATCATGGAGAGTGGCTACACACGCATTCCAATCTATGAGAAGGAAAAGACTAACATTGTTGACATGTTATATGTCAAAGATCTTGCTTTTGTTGACCCAGATGACTGCACCCCCCTCAAGACAATCACTAAGTTTTACAACCACCCAATCCATTACGTTTCCTATAGTACCAAACTGGATGCTGTGCTTGAAGAGTTCAAAAACGGTAATGACGGAGTGGATTTAATGTTGGCTTTTGGAATTTTATAAAATATAGCAGCTAGGGATCTTTAGAATAGGCAAAAGAGGCTGGCCATGAGTAAAAAACTGGTGGTGGTCAGTCACACAACGCGCTCAATCTGGGTAGTGAATTAACGTTTCTGGAGGTTTGCACAGTGCAACAACTCCTGATTACATGAACACACTTCTCTCTTTCCTAAAAGTTTTGTAAACACCTAATAGTTCTGCTTTATGTCTGAATAAGGAGAAAAAATGTTTTATATATAGTAATAAAAGCCAAAAAGAAAAGAAATTAAGAGCAACTTTTTTTTGGTAAAATGTATCTCTGCAATAGAATTTCTTTATACGTTACTATTTTAATGCTATAATTATTGAACAGGACTAGAGAGGCGTGGCTAAAATCTGGATCCAGAGTGCCATCTACTTTCAAAACAGAAGCAAGGGCTTTGTATAAACTGTTGTAAGACAATATGTAAGGAAATAAGCTCTGAGCCAAGGTGACATGAAATAGGTTATTTCTCAGATATGATCCTTACAAGACTTTACAAAAATGAAATCTATTTTTTAAAGGACTGTTTTGATGTGAATCTGGTCACAGCAAAATAACCAAAGTCTGTCCCACAGGTAAGTCTCACCTGGCCATTGTCCGCAAGATGCATGAGGTTGACCATGACCAAATCTTTGAAGTGGTGGGCATAGTAACCTTGGAGGATGTCATTGAAGAAATCATCAAGTCCGAAATCGTGGATGAATCAGATCTTTACAGTTAGTTTCATTCTTAAGTATTCATAGAAAATAGTTGTATCTCTGTGTGTGAGAGAGACAACAAGAGGGAGAATCTCACTCTACATGAACAGTTACACATTTTGTGGGGTCTTAAAGATGAGTGTGTTTATTATTGCATGAACATTTTGTGAATCATCATAATAAATGTATTAGTCTTTAAGGTCCCACAAGACCCACCTTGTTTCTGCTACTAATGATTAACATGGCTTCTCTTCTGCAATTGGTTATGATAGAAACCTCCCTATATGATTATACCATTTGCATCTCATTTTTAAGGGGTGAGGAGTTTCAGAAATGTTGAGGCTTATCCCAGATTCAGCTTCCTCAAGTGACGTTGCTGCAGGAACATAGTTTCTTTCTATAACGTAGACAGTATCACTGTCAGTGAATGACAGTGAAGGTAAGTTTCCCAATGGAGTCTGAATGAAAACTGCATAAGGAGAACAATAAGAAAAAAAGGTCTAGCAATGTTATTTTGCCTGTTTAGTTAGGAAACTAAGTGAGCAGTTAAGCCTTTTGGAAGTTGCTGTATGACTTATACATGGTTTCCTAGTTTTCTTGAAAACCATTTTTGGAACACTGATCTTACAAGGAAAGATGGTTAAATCCAAGTTTAGGGCTTGGTCAGGGATATACAACTTCCTTGAGGACTATGCTTAGTGTGGTGTGTCACTGAACATCAGTCTGGTATGATATAATGGTAAACATGTTGGGCTAGGAGTGGGAAACACAGGTTCTAGCCCGCACTTAGCCACAGAAGTTTCCTGGATGACTTTGGGGCAGTCCCTTCCTCTCAGCCTAAGAGCTCCTGTGGTGTAGTGGTGAAGGAGTTGAAGTAAGAGTGGGGAGACGCAGCTTCTAGTTTCACCTCAGCCACAGACTCTCCCAAAGGGATTTGGGGCAGTCACTCTCTCTCTCAGCCCAATGGGGACCAACAGAGTTGCTATTGGGGGGGGGGGGGTGATGGCAGGAGTGCTATGAATGCTGCCTTGATCATCATCTTCTTTTTTTAAAAAAATAATTTTATTAAGATTTATACATGAAAAGAATAAAAGCCAATATAGGCTAGAAAAATACAAACAGAAAAATACAAAAGAAAAAGAAAAAGTGTGAAAAAGGAAAATAGAAAAAGGAAAAGAAAAAAGAAAGATGTAACTTCCCCCTTCATCCCAGCAAGTAAAGACAATCTTAATAGCTTATCACTATCTCTAACTACAACATAATCTCTCTTCACACCATATCTCATCTACTGAATAAAAAAACAAAACAAAATCCAAGTGCTTTGTCAATTGTTCTTTATCAGCAAAAGTCTAGCAAGGGCAACCAGATCTAACGATTTTTCTCCTTTACCCCTGCTCAAATAAGCCAACCCTATAGTCCTTCCCCGAGTTTTTAAAAATACCTTTTAACCCTTTCAAAAAGAATCCCAGAGCTAGTTTTCTGTTCAACTGTTTCAAGCCAAAAATCTTTCCGAACTTTAGCAGATTTCTTTTGTATATCCAATAAGTAAAGTTTGTCCTTTTGTTTGTCACTTCGAATAAAGTCTTTCAGAACCTTAACAGAGCTCTTTTGTATATCCAGTAAAAATATATATATATATCCAAGTCAGTTTCCTGGTTCAATATTTGTATATTTCCTTTTGGGAATAAGTCTTTGTTGGTACCATCTGTGTGCTCATATCTTTCTCCATATCTTTCTCATTACTTGTTACATTTAAGTCCCCCTTCAAAGTAATTT